CTGCAGCGTTCGGCAGTAGTGAGAAGTGGCCCTCGCAGGCATCGTAAATATCCGATGCTGCACATGAGGCAGGCGCATGTGGACAAGATAGCTTCACGAAAGCTGCCGGCTTCTTGAATTTTCTGAAGTCGCAGGCTTCCAATGCTAGATGGCAGGCTTCAGTCCTGGCGGCTGGCCCGGGTGCGCGGAATTTGTGGCAAACCAAGCTCAGGCGGAACCCATCTGTAGCACCTGGCAGCATTCATGCACTGCCGGATGATGGGAAAGAGGCATAGGGCAAAGGACGGAGCCTCTGACAGCAGCGGCCCCAGGCAAGCAGCAGCGCCGCAAGGAGCAGGCTCAGCGCCACAATGGCAGCCCACCTTTCAGAAGCTTCTCACGGGGCGCTGCTTCTGCTTCGCTTCTGCTGCTTGCGATTCTGCGCTTCGATGCAAGCCGAGGCTCTGGGCAACTCCCAGGACGCGTGGGCTCGCAAACTCCGACTCCTCGCCGCTGAGCGCCGCGATGAAGGCGCCACGAAAGCCTGAGGAAGCGAGCAGCACCCCGCACGCGGCACTCGGGCATTGCTGCAAAGCCTGTCCATTCAGCAGATTGCTTTGAAGCTGGCCGAGCTGCGCGAGTCGAACGTCATGGCCTGCGGCCTGCCGGTGCGAAGTCTCCCGTCCAATGCTACAGCCTCCTACTCACCGAAACTGCCCGCAACAGAAATTCAAGGTGTCTTGTTTTAAAGCGTGTTTCAGGAAGAAGGGATATGGATGAAAAGATATCACGAGGTCAGGCAGGCCTAAACAGGAATAAACGAAACCTCTCGGCTGAGAACGATAGCCTGACGATAGCGCTGGCATCGGTGCCTCGCCGAGGTGCTTTGCTATGGGAGCGGGAAGACCGTCTCGGAACCGCACGGAACCTGAGCGAGAAATGCCAACAGCAGCCCTGCAGCCCATCAGCCTCCAAGACTTCCAAAGCGGTCGCACTGAGGCGCTGAGGCCGGCACTTCAGGAGGCTGCCGACTTTGCAGCGGTTAGCGGCCGAGAAAGGAACGAAGGCAGTGTCCGATCGCTTTGGAAATGACTCTTGGCTCGCTGCTTGTGAACTAATATATAGACTGCTGTGGCTCTGCGCGGAAATCTCTACGATCTGTCAAGGAGCACCAGACGCGTGGCTTTTGCTTCTCGAGCCCCACCGCTCTCGTCGGGCAAGATTGCTCAAAATGATGGAAAGATCAGCCTGCCCGCTACTTCACAAGGCATCCCCCTGATGCAGTCTTCAGAGTCCCGGGCCTCTGCTGTGTCCTCATCCGAAACCCACACATTTCCCGCGAAAGCCAAGCTCTCGGCCACGACAACTCGCCACAAGGATGCGCCGCCACTCGGAAGCGAAGGCCATCCCCGGGCCTGGCTCCGGCAGAATCAGAGCTCTGAAGGGAACCCCAGAACGGAAGAGGGTTCGAAGGACGGCTGTACTCGAAGCCTCGAAGGGACGAGGAAACTAGGGGATCAAAGGGACGTTCGGGTGGAGAACGACGCCCTCTTCGGTGGCTCTGCCTGCGAACCATCACACGGATGTAACTCGGGCTGCGTCGCATCTCCCCAGAATCTTGAGTCACGAGCCTCAAGAAACAAGCCCTACATAACGCCCCCCCAAAAAAAAACTCGAAAAAAGAGCTGCAAATGCGAGACTCGGCCTGCCTTGCCGGATTGCGGGCTCCAGAGCTTTCGATCCGAGGCTTTCAGCTGCCGGCCTCGCTCCAGCAAACTTGGGCTCGGCCCTACTTGGCCACGCTGCGAAATCCCTTCAGATGACCCTCTCGGCGCCGCCATCGGCACAGGAAAAGAGAAACTGAGTATGTCCGAAGCTCCCAAACAAAATCTCAATTCAGGCTGCTCTGGCCGTCTGTCACGAGGCTGCAGCCTCACCAGGGATCTGTCGCAGACCCTGAGCCACAAAACGGATGCCGGAGAAACGCTCTCCGAACCAAGCACCCCCGACTTCAACTTCGACTTCAATCCGGAAGTCTTTTCTAACAGCCGTGGGACTTTAACCCGGACACCCTGAAACGAAATACGGGCACACAAACAGGCAATGCAATCTTAGAGTGGAGGGTTCTGGGCCCTCAAGCGTCGCCTTCTCGAATCCCCAACCCGCCCGAGGAGAGGACGCGTCAGATCAGGAGCCCTCATCGGAAGAAGGGCCTCTCGGAGAGCTCCGTTTCGGGCATCGTTGCTGCGGCTATTGACATGGCGGGTTTGTGCAAGCTGGGACGTAGGATTTAGGCGTAAAGCGTGTCAGATGTAGGAGATGGAAAAATGCTCCAGACTGTCATGTAGTTGTAAGCTTCCGAAAACCTCCCAACGAAGGACTACACTCGCCAAACAATGCGAGAGCTATGGTTTCGGATTTTAGGTCTTGGGGTTTGTAGAAAGGGCTTTTCAGATATTGCTTTGGACTTTCGGCTCATCAGTATTTAGAGGGTTCAAGCTGCGCGGACCTGCCCGCCATATGGATCCAGGTACATGATAGTCAGACATATGTGGTTTTCTCTGTACGCTTCCCGAAGTTTGAAGCAAGTGCCTGGTTGCTGGCACCGGTGAACAGCTGGAGCTCCGGCCGGTCCCAGTCGTTCGTCTTGATGATGGCCTTGGGGTTCTCATAGGGTTTCTATCGGGCTCTGATAGGGCACATATATCCCTAAACCCTAAACCCACACGGGTTTGAGGAGTTCTTGTCGGGCGATATTGGTATACTACACCCTAAACCCTGAGCCCTAAACCTTAAGATAAAGGGGATCCTTTGCATGAGGTCTCCGTCGTTAGGATCTCTTGGAGACTTGGGCTTTGGTTTTTTTCAGTGGGGTTTGGGATTCAATGGGGTTTCGGATTCAAGGCTTAGAGTTTGTGGGGCTTACGGCTCACGGCAAGTCCCTGGAGCGCAGGGCTGTAGGCTTCAGGTTTCTGAGTTTTGAGGTTTAGGAAATTCAGGGGGGCTTTAGGATTCAGGCGGGCTCATTGTACGTGGGAAACGCAGATGATGATTCCTTAAGCAATCGGGGTTTGTCTCATGAAACACTGGCTAAACGCGACTTGGGTGTGGACTTCGGGGCTTTCGAGCCCGACAGGGGGAGGGGGGCTGATCCTGGAAGCCGCTGCCCCTTAAACCCCAAATCACCCGATGGCATGGTATGGAACCTCTGCGCCCCTTGGAACCCAAGCGACAAATATAGTTTTGGAGATCCCCATGAAAGAAACTGTAAACGAAAGAACAGAGAACAGCTTAAAGCAGAGTACCCGCGAGCCACGAAAGAAATCTCAAGCCGAAGGCATGGGCCCTCTAACATAGGCCTGCATACTGCGGTTTTCATGCGAGGTGGTCCCGAAATTACGGCTCAAGGTCGAAATGGCGGGCAAACTGTCGAGGATGCAACAGACACGGCAGACTGCCACGATGTGCGCTGGCTCATTATGCGATTTTGGGGTTCCAGATGGGCTATAAGGCACCAGAAGCGTTGGAAGTATGGCGCCTCGAGCTGCAATGCCGAGCAGGTTATTGTTCTTGTCCCTGGTGGTGATCTTGCCAGCATCCTGTCCAGACGCAACAAAGCCCGATGGGTTCCTGCAGCCCCTTTTCGGCTTTAGAGTTCAGGCAATTGGGTTCAGACCGGCTCCGCGATGCGAACCAACCACATCCAGTAGAACGCAGCAGGAGAGAGGCAGGAACCGAGACAAAACACAAGCTGCCAACGGTTGCCTTAATTTATCTGTGCTTGACCCCAGGTGCCATCGCTGCCCCTCTGAGCTCACTTCAAGGTGTAGCTGAGGGTTTAGGATTTTTGGCGAATTTTGTATGAGGATATATCGGATCTAAGGCGATCCTTGCTAAACACAGAAGAGCAAGCCGCGAAATCCCGAACCCCTTGTAGAAAAAGCTTGAAGCCAACAACACTGGAACAGCAACCCTAGCACCCTAAAGCCTAACCTTATAAACCCTGACCCTACGCCCCATTGGGCGTAGTAGCTCAGGGTGAGGCGCACGTAGGCCTTGGGTTTCAGAAACTGTGGGCCTGGGTTCAAGAAGCGCTGCGACGAGAGCCCAGGGCTGCCCGAAGCCCGACTTTCCTATCCATAGTAATAATAATAAGAATAAGAATAAGAATAATAATAATAATAATACTAATAAGAATAAGAATAAGAATAAGAATAAGAATAGTAGTAATAATAATAATGATAATAAGATTCATAAGCTCTGACACAACCTGAACCTCTACTCTCGAAATGCCACAGCCCCTAAACTCTCCCAAGCAACCTTACAATACAGTGCTGCATATCAGACTGCATTCTATGCACAAGCCCAGACGGAATGGAATGCTCTTCCACGTACCACCCGGTCCTCTGGCTTGGCACGAAGACCCCACACGGTTACTTAACACCTGCACAGGCAGCGCCAAGACGACCCTCACACTGCAGGACCACCGTGCATTCCTAGAAGAAAGCCTAACTTCGAAGTCCTGGAAGTTTTTGCATGGAGCATGCCAGCGTGGGGGCAAGATCGCACGACCGTCACTCTGAGAGGCTCTTGTCAAAGAGCCGAGGCGACAAGGCGACAAGCGATCGCCTCTCTAAGGAGGCAAAAAGCCGAGGTCACTGGTGACTCCAAAGGGAAAGCCCGCTTTTCCAGCTCAGACCATGGAACCCAGGCCCAGCCTGCAAAGCAGCAGCTGAGCCATCACGGAGCCGGTAAGCAAATCACGGCCCATGGCGAAATGCAGCAACCTATGCAAAGCCCCTCGATGAACAAGGGACCTTTGCTGTGGAAAGCTACGTTTCTACAGAGGCCTGAGCCGGCACGGCGGCAAAAACAGGCTCTCGGATTCTGCAGATCGGTCCCTCTCAACCCCGACACACGGTCCTCATGGCAAACTCTGTCACGGCTCTGCTGAATGCTTCTAGTGGCAGAACTTCTGTTGAACCGTTGCTACACGCACACAGATTAGCACGATGGTGGCTCCCGCAAGAACCATTTGCTACAATTCCTTCCCCCACTGCACCGGCTGTTACCGTACCGTTGCTTCTCATCATCTTGGCCTTGGCCCGCTTCATTTTCAGAGCCTAGGCCAAGCGACGGACGATGGCTGGGGGAACAATTGTGAGGCTCAAAGGCTGGTTCAACGGAGGCGAGTGAACTCTGACTTTCGGAGGCTCTTTTGCTTGGGATCGCGATCTCAGAAAGCATCCGCTAGCCCAAGAGTCTGTTTGCAGCTGCTTGGACATTGCCCGCCGTTGCTTCTAAAGCGCTTTGGGCATCGCCCTCCCTGAAACCCATGGCCAGCAACTCTTTCAGCTCAATCATATACTGGTAGCCTGAAGCTTGCTGATGCTTTCGCTTCGGTTCTGCCTGGGTTTGACTACGTTCGCTCAGCACGTCAACCCCTGTTCTCCAGGCCGACACGAACATCCGCATCGGGACGTTCCGCCTGACCTCGTCCATATCTGCGAAAGCATCGCCCACGGCCTTGAAGCTTTGTGTCACACCTTGAAACAGGTCTTCCCGGCCTGGCCTCAAGGAGCTGTCTGCAGGCTTCGAACCGGACGGCTCCAGATCTTTCTGAACTTCTGGTGACAACCTCTGCTTGACAGCGTGCTGCTCAGGGAGAGCATCCCCGTGAGCTGGCCCCCGTGCGCCGATAGCTGGAAACGATGTGTTCTTTCCAAGGCCGTCTTCGGCCACCCCCGCTGTCAAAGCTTCAGGGATGTGCAGCTTCCTTTTCAGATTGTGTACTGGCACATGGCTGCGGATCCACTCCCAAACACGGTCTCGAGCATTTTGTTGCCCTTGATCGGAGCCGCACTCCGTCGCTATAATTCCGGCAACTTTTGTCAGCGCAGCCCGCAAGAGAACACATTGCTCGGACCACGTCTCTATCTCCTCCCTAAAAAGCTCTGGCGGAAGCTCGGCCTTCTCACGGGCCTGTGACAAGACGAGCAGCATGCGCCCGGGCGGTGTCTGCGTTTTCTCCTGGAACTGATCCAGCAACTCGAGATCATGCTTGGTGAAGCGGCCAAACCGCATCACGAAGAGGATGGCATCGACTCCCCCGGAGGCTGGAAAGAGCTCACCAACCACCTGTCCGTCGCGATTGTCTCCAAAGCCCTGAGTGTCATAGATTCTCAGAGTCTGGTTTCCAACCTTTGCATCGGCATGTTGTAACCCAGACGTCTCGGAGACCATGCTGCACGATACTTTAAAGCTCGTTTTTCCCAAGAGTGCGTTGCCCAGTGTACTCTTTCCAAAGCCTGTCTTACCCACAAGCAGGATTACCATGGGCTCGGCTAAGACAAGGCCAGTCTCGGACAGGCGGTACATGGTCCAGGGCCGCTGTGACATGCGAAGGCGTGAGACTTGGGACTTTCGCGCCAACTCTGCCCCAACCTCATTGAAGATTTGATCAATAGGCAGCTGCTGGCGCAAGCGCGGCATCAATTCTTTCATTAAGGCACCACCATTGGGTCTCTCCGCTGCTTCAAGGCCCGGATCACAAGCAAAGAGGAAGTAGAAGTCATGAACACTGGGAGGGCAAGCAGCCGGCCCCCTACTCGACCAGGTGTCATACAAGGCACCGTGAAATGGAGACAGGCAACAATCAAAAACCAAGATCACACGCAGCCGACGTTCCCCGTCGAGGTGGATCTTGTTGATCGGTGCAATTAGCTGTTTTTCAATGTCAAACACCTCAGCTTCGGAAAGATCCTCTTTCCGTGGGGCATCGGATGCAAGCAGGAGGGGGAAACCGTTCGCCTTCGTCATGCTATGGCAACTGAAGAAGCCAATAAGAACGGGCCGCTCGTGACCGTCTGTCGCCTCGGGGATGTCCCGAACCCATGCCGTCAGCTCTCGAGACAAGCTCTCCTGCGTCACCTCACCACTCAGAACTGTGGTGGCTTCTCTGTGGCCCATATCGTCAAGGAACTTGTTTGCCTGTTTGGCATCCGCCCCTGCACCTGCCAACCTTCCCCAGCTCGCGTACTCCACGATTCCAAGGACGAAGGCTTTCGAGATCATCGCCTGCCTCGGTGCAGCGCGCAAAGACAAGCGGCAGTTTGTCTGACAACCCTTGAGGTGCATGGTGACAGTTGGAGTCATGCCGCATGAACTGTTTCTTTGCCATATCGCCATAACCCAGCATCGACGAACACAGAGTTAGGACAGTTGCTGGGTTGACGGATGCCAATCCACACTAGGAAACCCTTCCCCCAAAAAACAGCTCCAAAACAATCATATATATATATATATATATATATATACATATATCGTCAAACTGTCTGACTCATCTCGCGGAGAAGCGGCGACTGAGTGCAAGTGCTTCGCCCAATCGCACTATCGGCTGCTGGATCCATGGCTGAACTGTCTAGCGGTTACCCTAAACCAAAAGCGCTAATTCCTGCTCTGGCGATGCGTCAACTCTGGTACTTCGGACGGGGTCTTTGCACTGACACTAGTGACAGAACAGCTCTTTGTGCTTGAGTATGGCATCGGTGTGCAAAGCTGCGTCCCTCATGGGTGACGGAACCTACACTCTGAGGCGATTTGCCACAAATCCCGGTTCATGAAGAACTGTGGAAATTCTGAATGCCATCGCCCCTTACGGTCACGAGGGCTCTATTGATCCCAGATTTTGCCACGCTGTTGGCTTGCAATCTCGTAGGCCTTACTGGATTGGGGGGTTTAGTTTGGGACTTACAGTCTTGGGAAGCGGAACCTTTTGAAACACATACCATCTCTGTCCTGCCGATGGCTGGGTGGTTGAGTAGCCACATCCGGAAACATTGCCTCACGACTTGTGACCGGACGGGAAGAAAGGCCGAGCTCACCCAGATGGGCTCCCTCAAGCTACAGCAGAAACCATGGGAGGGGCTTCTGCCTCTAGGACGCACTAAACACATGTGGAAAAGAAACACGAAGCTGTCGAAATGGCCGAGCTCACCCACAAGGGCTCCCTCAAGCAACTTCGCAACCATCCGGAAACGTTGCCTTGTGACCGGACGTGAAACCCTGCAGCAGCACGATCTAGGCATGCACAAAAGACTGCTGAACTGCAGGTAGCTCTCAACATAAAAGACATACAAAGTTGCGCGTGCTTCAAAAGATGAGAAGCAGCATACTCTCTTCCATCAAGAAAAGCCATACGAGGCAAGATGATTGCAGCCCATGTTTATGGACGTCCATTGCCTGTATGCTGGTGCCACACATGCCACCTGATAAATGGGTGCCGGCTCAGGGCCACGATCAGTGCGTGAAGTGCGCATTCAGCCTGCACAGCTGTAGCTGCTGCATCTGGTCAGGCTCACAAGTATAGCTTACGTAAGTTAGTGTAGAGCTTTCAAATTATACTTTGAGGAAGCTGTTCTTTCCTCTGAGTCCAGCTTTCACCTGGTTGATTTAATCTCCGTCTTCCCCTCTGCTGTCCAAGCGGCTGAGAGTCCGAGACAAAGTGGCTGCCGCCGCCACAACGCCAGCCTCCTCCAGTCTTGTACCTCTGCTGGCACTGTGTGATCCTGCCTCTGACCAAGACTTCATAAATACAGCAGGAAGACTTTCCGGACATAGGGGTCTTAGGCCATAGTCATCGGGTATAAAAGAAGAAGTGCAATCAGGAACCCTCGCAATTTCGACCCTCTCTTACCCTGCGCAAGCCAAGCGGCCAGCTGAAGCCGGCGGGACAGGGACTGATCTGGCGAAGCTTCTCTCGAATCCTCGCCTGCTTCTCCTGCTCGGCTCGGATCCGAGCTTGCTCCTTTCAGCTCTTGAGCATCTCAAGGGCTATGAAGCCGCGGCGCAGAAGACTCTGTTAGGGCTGAGAATGGAAGTCAGAAAGACAGTGGTGAGATGATAACACGAATCGCAAGAGCAGTAACAAAACAAACTGCACACGTAACACGAACCGATCGCATGCCTAGGCATATCAGAGGGCCTCAACCTTCTACCGACAACCACTGACCGAGCTTCAGAAATCCTGCTGGGTTCCTATCCCTAAGCCCGAAACCCCTAAATCTCAAACCCCAACTCCGACAGCATACACCCCACAAGAACCCAGACCAACACACTCGAAAACCTTCTGAAATCTCACAAAACCTCCGCATGCCTACAAAACAGCTCCAAACAACAGCGCAGGTCTCCTCCAGGCGCCGTCGCTCTCTCTCCAAACGCTCGCTCTCGAGCCGCGCTTCGAGCTCGGCCTCTTTTGAAGCGCTCTACCACGGGTTTAGTACAAGGCTTTGAAAACAGGGGCCTCAAGGATCAGAATAGGGTTTTTGGCCACACATTATACTAGGGGGTACTAATGTACTCTTACGGAGATTCAGGGAATATTGTGATTCATGACTACTTGGAATAAGGCTTTTGGGTTTTCGACCTCCGGGGGCCCGCTTGCAAGGTTGAGGACTTTGGGACTCGGAGTTCCGAAGCTAGGGCCTCAGTGTTTAGGGTGGTCTTAAGGCCAGGGATTCGGGCCGTTGAAGCTTACAGTTCACTGCTTCAGCGTTTAGGGCTCTAAGGTTTCGGGCTTGGGGGTTTCCTCAACTTGCTATGGAGCTTTTTTGCAGCTTCAACGGTCACGGGTCAGGTAGTTTACAAGTTTTCGAACGGGTTTTCTGAGGCTTTGAAGGTTGGAACGCTCAGGTCTGTCGGGATTGAAGGTGAACACCATTTAGGTTACTAAGTCTTGTGTGTTTTTGGCCCGGGTGTTCGGGTCCAGGGTCTGGGGGGTTCATTGCCTGCTGGGAATTCGAGGAGTTTGAAGTTTTGGGGGGTCGAAGCATTGGGGTCTAGTGTGATCCTCATGTCATCGCCCATCGCCATGGCAACAGCACTGAGCCAAGCTGACAAACAGAGAACAAACAGAAGATGCCCAAGCCAGTACCAACAATCATGATGATGGTTCACGACGATGCAATCCACGCCGATACTGCGGAGATGCCTTGGCCCGGATTCTCTCGGCCTCTAAGCAATCCTGCAAACAAGAGTCGAGTTTGATCACGCTTTCTCGGAAACGGTTTGGGATTCAGGAATTTGGGCCGTGCGGGCTTCTTGGTTCCGGCATCGGAATTTCAGACATGTCCACGTGCATCTGGGAGCTATGATGAGCTAGCGCCAAGAACTGGGCCACTCATGCTTCGGGCCTTTGCCATCCGGAACCGACGTGGCTTGTGATTGAAAGCAGTAATAGAGGGGCCTTAATAATCAGAATAGGGTTTTAGGGCCCATTTTACTATGTAAGATGATCATAAGGACCCCCCAAAATACTAAAGGTAATCATCTAGGCCCCCATCGTACGTAAGCCAACGCATCCATAGAGCCTTGAGGCGAAGATGCACTCACAGCGACTCACAGGAAAGAAGCATCTTCCAGTGTGTCCACCTTCCCGTTAGGGTTTAGGGTTTAGGGTTTAGGGGTTTAGGGGTTTAGGGTTTAGGGTTTAGGGTTTTAGACCACTCTAAACTCACCACTGGGGATCATCACGGAAAATCTGCGAGGACGATAGTAAGAAGAAAGTTCGAGAACAGCTGCCATGTGTCCGTCCTATGCTATACTCCCTAAAACCAACCCAAGCCCCTTAACGCCTCAAATCGTTCAACCCTAAAATCCCCACAAGCCTCCCTACATCCTAAAATCCCGAAACCCCTAAACTCCCCCGGAACCTTTAGACCCTAAACCCGCTAGAACCCCAAAAGTACCCTTGTAGGGTACCCCTTATACTGTATCACCCTTTTTTGCAGCAGGCCTCGTTGTCCAGCAGCCCGGTCCGAGCGAGTCGTCTTTACACTTGCTGAATACAAGGAGAACAGACTCGCCCACAATTGCAATGACATTATCTATGTTACCCTAAACCCCGAACCCTAAACCCTAAACCCTAAACCCTAGGCGTTTGGCTGACAGCGATCCGTGTAGTTTCCCGTTGTGGTCCACGGTGAGCTCCCAAACCCAGCGCGGCCCACAGGCCCGCCGATCGGCGATTGGGATATCGCCGGTTGTCTTCTGCCGCATTCGCTGCAATTTGCCGACTGCGTGCAGGGTGAATCAACCTTCTACATCTTCTGCTACGTTCGCTGCCTTGAGCCGACCGTCAGCTGAATTTGTACTTTTATGATTGGGGCCATCCTTCTCTGGTTGGTGGTGCTCAATCAGCATACCGCGACGGTTGCGGCGCCCTTTGAAGGAAGCAGCCTGGCACCGACGCCTCAGGAGGGCTCGTACAGGAGCCCGGACTCTTACACGCCTGGCGAAGTCCAGGTGGATCGACGTTCCAGCGGAGCGCTTGCTGAGAGCGCAAGCTCTCCTGCGGAAGCACCACTCGTACTCAGCCATGGGAGGACGAGAACCATGGATATGCCCAGGCTGCCAGGCCAAAGTCAAATATACAAGTGCTTTTTGCGGCCAGTGCGGGCAGGCCTGGTCGTACTCAGCGCCGTCTGGATCCCAGTGGGTGCCCTATGGGAAGGGCAATCCGCACTGGGAGAGACCTCGATCACCACGCAAGCATGGCGACGATTGGGGTCCAGGACAGAAAGGCAAGAGACCGCGATCTCCGAGGAAGCGAGGGAACCAGGACAAGGGAGCTGGCAAAGCAACTGGCAAGACAACTGCCAAAGGTGGCAAGGAGCAGGCGCCATTGGCGCCCACCACAGCACAGCTACCGAAGCCACCAACGGCCCCGACTACGTCAACGCCACGGGAGCCGGCAATGCCAGCATCATCGCCAGCGGATTCCAAGTTGCAAAGCTTGCTTACGGCCCTCTCGAGGAGCCGCGACGACCTGCCCACGCATTTGAGGGATATGCTAGATGGTCAGTTCGAGGCGGACTCCAAGGCCCACACGAGGAGCCTACACAAGTTGGTGGCGGCCCAGAGCCAAGCTCGCAGGGAGCTGGCTCAAACAAAAACCGCTCGCCAGGACTACATTCGGTCTTGGGGCGAGTACGTGGAGGGCATTTGCACCATCTGGCAGGAGCATTTACAGGAGAAGATGCAAGTCATGCAGAGCTTCTCCGATGCCGAGTCCAAATGGGAGCAACAGCTGAGGGAGACCACTGGGCAAATTGGTCGCCTAGCTGGAGAAGGTCGCAACAAAGAGACGATCGAGGTGGACAGCATGGAGGACGAAGACGAGGCGGAGGAGGAGATGAGCTCAGAACTCGCTGCGCAGGATGCGCAGCGGCAGGTCGCCATGGACAACATGGCGATTGCGGAGACACAGATCACAGAGAACCTACGAGCTGCCGTTGCGTCAGTGGCACAACAGGCTTTGGATTTCTCGCGCAACGACCGAGAAAGGTCGCCTCGGCGTCGTCTGTCCGATTCCACCAAGGACACCAAAACCGAGGTGCCCCAGGTCAAGACGGAGCAGCCGAAGACTGCTCCAGTCCAGCCGCCCCCTCAATAAGCTCCACATCGAGCCACATGGTCCTTGTGGAGCGTACCGAGCTGAACTGCCCACAGCACTTCAGCTGCAGTTTTGGCCACTCCGTTTATAGGGAGTGGGACTTCACATGCCCTCGCATAGCACGGCTTTTGGGATGGCGAGCTGCTTTCGAGGTTGAGCTTGGAGAACTAGGAATCGAGACAAGCTGGAGGTTTGATCGACGCCAGCGTTCGCATGCAGAACCTGCCAAGGGGACTACGACTCTCCGACTACATGAACGAGCCCATGTCCGCTGTGACCCGTCAGCAGGCGCAGTCTTATGCATGGGCGGTACCGAACTGCATGCATCCATTTTCCGGAAACAACCCTGCATGGGCGACGAGGGTGTTGTTTCTGACGTAATGGGTGCTGCGAGTGAGGGTGCCCATGCTGAGACTTCGAGCCGCTGTCCGAGGCCAGCATGTGAGCTGTCTGTACAGCGTGTGTATAGCAGTAGTGTACATGCGCAAGGTGAATGTAGGGCGCGGGCTGTGCGTTTTATACAACAGCCGGAGACCCTTCTCTACCAAACCAATGCCAGACTCAAGCCAGGGACCCCACCATGGTCCAACCCGCTTCGTGGCATCATCACCAGCCGGCCCCATTTTGGATGCCACTGTGATTCTTCTATCTCCTCCGTACCGGAGGTTTTGACCAACCACGATCGGGCTCACACCCATTCCAATCGACGTGGGATGAAGGCAACCACAGCCTCATCCCTTGAGACTGACCGCATGCCGGCTGCTTGCAAAGCTAGCCAATACCATAACATGAGTGTGCCGCCTGTTGCGTGCACCTCAGCTCTGCCGGTGCAGCCTGTAATGTGCCCGGATGGCTTCACCAGACCAGCTGCCACTCCAGTGCGGCCATCCGACACTCCCTTCTCGTTGGTGCGATTGGGCATAGCCGCGCGGATTGAGGTACTTCCTGCACATCTTGACAGGCCAGAGCTCCGAAACCGTCCGGTCATGACCTTCAATTGGGTTACTCAGCACCGTGCGGCTGGAGCTACAGCTGAACTCCGGCAACAAGACCGATATGCACTGTTTGACACTGTCAATCACCTCAGTGTACGACGACTTCCGGAGGGTTGGTGCATCAATGATATTGTAGCCGACATCATTGGCTCCCAACCACAGGTACGCTCAGTGCGTTTCCACATGGATAGACTGCCCCACCTTCCGGCTATCCAAGTCACGGCAACCCTTAGAGGCGCAGAGCAACGAGCATTCACAGTTCCGCTTGACTTACGCACTGTGGAAGGCCGGATCTGCACCATCGATGCCCCTTTTGGCTGTCGGCCGGCATTGCTGCAGGCTATCTGTGTCAACAGTTGTGCCACGGGTCGCCTCCCACGCGGCATGTATCATCTGGTTGCACCAGACGGTTCCTTAGCAGCGATTCCAGCTGATCAGGCGCCGCCCTTTGACTTTGTGCGCAGCACCCGGGATGACCCCACACCAGTTGGGGAGGAGCATGAACCGGAGCCGATTGTTTCAGACGAAGGTGATGAAGCCACACTAATGCAGTTGCATGCAGGTGTTCATGGACCGCATGTCACCAGTGCTGTGTCGACCGATGATGGTTGGAACGGCACACGAAGCGCAGCTTGCAAAGTGTCTGTTGAACACCCTGTTCTTGAGCCGGTACATCCCCCTTCATTGCTTGCTAAGGCTGGCCCCCCACGAGCTAGCATATGGTTTGATAAAGCTCCGACATACAAGATTCTTCCAGAGAGATGGGCTAGCCCAGCACTTCTGCGGATCCCTGCTGGGCAGTTGAATCTGTATTGTGCCGTGGAGGAAAACCATGATACTGAACGCCGTTATGCCCTGTTTGACCGGCTTCGGCACACTAGTGCGCGCAAGGCTGCAGCGGACTGGACTTTGGAAGATTACGCCGCGGATGCGGTGATGACAGCACCGGAGCCGACTGCTATCTTCCAGATTGTCACCATCGCAATCGCGGGGCTTCCCACTCCGCAATTCACCTTGACTCCAGCCGGAGTTCCTGCGTCATCCCTTACTCTGCCTGTCGATGCCAGGAATATGGGAGGTCCAGTACTTGCGCTGTTGCTCCGCCCTGGAATGCCCAGTGGCGAGGTCTTCGACAAGATCGCCAGTGTCTTCCCTGCAGCGCGATACCTGGTTGATTTGGCTGCACCCCTTGATGGCCTCTTCCTCCAAGATGCTTTGGGCAGGGTCTGGGAGTCCCTACCTGAGGACCTAAGCACTCTTCAGTGGATGACTGTTCGTATTGACAGGGCGGCCTTCCCAGGCGCACCACAGTTCGCGCCCACCTCTGCGCAATCTCAGTGGGCAGGTACGACTTCGACAACGACAGCCATGCAGCCGGCCTTGTCTTCGGGCACGCATATCTCCTTCGTGCTAGCAGGTGAGGGCACGTTGATCAGGTTGGCCCCGCAGCCTGTGCAGCAAGTGAACGTGCAACATTCTATAGCAGAGATGTTGCTTATTATTGCTCGACAAGGACGTATGCCCAGGCATCCCATGATCTCGATATGTACATCAATGCCACGTAACCCTGAGCGC